CCATCACGTTTGTGATTCCCACTGTACCATCGATGTTTAAAGAAAGCATCGATGAAGAAATCATTCTCAGCGCGATAGTTTTTCGCACTGGGGTCAAGGTGATGGATCCTTGACGAATCGAACAACCGTGTTCGATAACGATCACTCGTCGTCGCCGACAAGTGATCCATGACTGATTTTGGAGGCATCCATGCCTTCTTCTCAGGAGCGAGACGCAACACACTGCGGTCCCGCTCTTCCTGCGATGTGCCGACAGAAGTACTGGCACCTCGCTGTGAAGTGGTGTCAATAGGAGAACCGACACCACTGTTAGCGCCCGAGTCTCGCGACCTCGAGCGCCTTCGCTTCGGCGATGGTTCATCTGATTCATCAGATGAACCAAAGATGCTATGACGCATAGCATCATCCATGCCACGTTTGGCAGGCGGCTTGGATTCGATCGCCGTCGATACGGATCCGTCTTTCGTATCAGGAGAATATGAGACACCGAGCTCATACTCTGTGAAGACACGAGTGTCTTCATGACCAGCGCCTGCATCACCAGGTGACACAGGCTGAGTCGCTTCAGCAACCGATGAGACATCAGTTGCTGTGGTTTCTGCTTCGGCGTCCGCACAGAGACGTGCGGACGCGCTCTCGGCGGCCTTGCTCGCGCATCGCATGGGCTTGTTAACCATGCGATGAATTGTTGGAAAGTGGACTCGGACCAACAAGTGCAAACCCTGTCCCAAATGATTTGGGACGAGTATCCATTTAGTCAATCAGTCACTAAAGTGACTGATGGTTAGGGGGGTGATGTAACGGGGTGAATCGTTACATAACAATTTATAAGAAATTGTTAATAGAATATAACTATAAGAGTTATATTCTCAGAATATTGTCATAAGGACAAATATTCTGTAGCACTTACGAGTAGTTCCTAATTGGTTGATATAGGCCATTATATCAACCAACGAAGACGCGCCACGACAGACGCACGCAATGAGTGGTGAGCAGATAACTGATATGTACATTTGTATTTAGACATAGTTAGATGAAGATAAATAGTGATTTATTGCAGACATTGAACTATTATAAATACAGTTCTACTTTTTACTCTAACCAAGTACTCGCTTCTTCTTACCGTCTTCCTCTGCACGTACGAGTGTACGTGAAGTTACGAGGCACCGCCTTATTCTATCATCAGAATAAGTAGCTTGTACTGTCACCAGTACAAGCTTCAGGGTGCCCCGTTACATTTATGGCGTTTGTCATCGACTCAACTCTACTTATATAAAGATATGAGCAAATTCCCCATGCTCTATCCATCATTTATGCCTTTGTACATTATCTGGACTCCATGTCCTACCGGCCAAGAGCTAATTAATCTTTTGAGCCGACAAATCACGGTTAAACAGTTTAAGGAAATTGCTGTAGTTCTTCTTGAACAACGACAATGTATTTGGGCTACGAGATCCGGACAGGGAAAATCGACTACAAGAATTTGGTATTACGCATCCAACGTGTCCATCGGCGGCTGCTTACAGCGATACGAGTAGCAACGAGTGTGACAATTAGCGTGTTAATTTTAAACTGTATCGTGCTACATTCCATACTATTCACTGCCACAGTTTTTAATTTACCGCTGTGGGCGAAGCTGGATCTGCACAATTTATACAAGCTGTTTGTATAAGCATGCAACTACAACAGAAGGAAGTCGTTACTAAGAAAATACAGGGCTGCTTTTGACTCCAAAGCATGCGGGAGGCATCAGCCTCGCCGAAGTATCAGTTGTAACGGGGTGCCTCCGTAACATGATAATTTACAGAAGGTAATCATCAAGTACGAACATAATATTAGGATAAGCACAATGTAACACACTGCCCAAAGGTTGATAAAGGATTGAGATGTCAACCAATACAGTCTAGCCACGACAGAAGCACGCAATGAGTGGTGCGCTGATAGTTACAAAACATGTTTATTTTGATACTGAGTAAAATGAAGTCAAATGGGGATTTACTAAAAGGATTAACTATATTAAACACTGTCTACGTTTTACTGAGCACTCTTACTCCGTGTAGCAATCTTACTCTGAACGTACGTGTACGTGCGGTAGTCGGATGCACACACCCTTGCACTTTCAGCATTGCAAGGTTTATTCAATTAGTTGAATAAGATGTGCCCCTTAACATTAGTGGCTATCAAAACTTATCAAAGTAAACATGCGATTACTTGGCTTACTCAAAAAAGACCAATACTCAGCGCCGTGGCGAGTTTGGACTTTTTGTGGCTACATTGAGAGGGCCGCAGCTATTGTGCCTCTGTCTCAGATCTCAATAATGAAACCTGCCTTAACAGCGCCGTCGACACGGTCAGCTATTGCTACATGAGCTTGGTAGTTGGATGCACCATTGCCGGGCCAACTTTTGTAACGGGGTGAATCGTTACATAACAATTTAAAAGAAATTGTTAATAGAATATAACTATAAGAGTTATATTCTCGGAATATTGTCATAAGGACAAATATTCTGTAGCACTTACGAGTAATTTCTAATTGGTTGATGTATGCCATTATATCAACCAACGAAGACGCGCCACGACAGACGCACGCAGGTAGTGGTGAGCAGATAGTTGATATGCACATTTGTATTCAGACATAGTTAGATGAAGATAAATAGTGATTTATTGCAGACATTGAATATTATAAATACAGTTCTACTTTTTACTTTAACCAAGTACTCACTTCTTCTTACCGTCTTCCTCTGCACGTACGAGTGTACGTGAAGTTACGAGGCACCGCCTTATTCTGTCATCAGAATAAGTAGCTTGTACTGTCACCAGTACAAGCTTCAGGGTGCCCCGTTACACCTTGTAGCACTTCGTAGTCCGTCCAAGGACCACGTTCACATCTAACATGAATATGTTAGATGATGAAGATGACCAAAGCTTTCACGCTACGCGTGACGGCTACCCCCATTTGAGCAATGTCGAATGGGATGCGGCTGAACGGATGGGTTCAACCATGGGCATCCATGCTGTTAGCGTCATGATAGAGGCTCTCAATAGAGATGCCCAACATGCTACTATCGCCAAGTTCATTCAAAATGAACTTGACGCTGAACGCGAGAAAGTAGCCTTGCTTCACCAACAAGGTTCTCAACAAGCAGAGTTGTTGAGAGAACAAGGTGCTCAACAGTTTGAACTGTTGAGACAGCAGCAGGCTGCTGCTGGCGGGTCGATGCACTCGCGTCGACCCGAGACTTTGAAGATTGACATCTCAAAGTATAGGGGAGTCGAAGAGGACTCCCCCTTGAGATGGTTCGTCGAATTGGATGACGCCATAAGGGCGCGTCGCATCGACGACGGGAATATGCAAGTTGCATTTGCCCAGTCAAATCTGGCAGGACGTGCCAAGACTTGGGCACTGGGGCTCAAGTTGCACGACCCATATGCGTTTGGATCGTTAGAAGTCTTCAAGTCGCGGCTCAGACAAACGTTTGAACCGCCTAGAGCTGAGTTCAGAGCTCGAACCGAACTCTTGAAGCTCAAGCAGGGTAAGCGTGATGTGCACGCTTACGCGCAACATATACGACATCTCACGAGTTGTATAAGTTCCAATCCGGTGGATGAACACACGTTGGTTTCGGTGTTCATGCAGGGTCTTGCGGATGGTCCCGTCAAGACTCACCTGTTCCGGCTTGAACTAGATTCACTAGAACAAGCCATTTCCATTGCGGAGCAGGAAGACTTCAGTCCGAGACAGGCTCGCGCCAGCTCGACATCATATCGTCAACCGAGACGATATGACAGCGGAGGTCCAGAGCCGATGGAACTCTGTTATGTAGAGAGCGAGAAGGCTCGCTCTACAGGCTACAAGAAGTTGCAGAGATGCAACAGATGTCAGAAGACAGGACACTACGCTTATGAGTGTAGTGCCCCTCGTCCAGTGTCTCGCGACACTGGGCGTAGTGACCGTCCCCCTATGAGAAAGGGGCAGGGACGCGGGTCCGCTGTTGGTGCAAAGACGCAACAACGGTATGGACCGTCAAAAAACAGACAGGATCAGTAGGTGCGGAGCACCCTACTGGTCCAGCAACGTCAAGAGAATTTGGAGGCCTCTTGATGAAGGTTGCTCCCAACGCACAAACGTTGTGCGTTGCTGCTCTAGGTAATGAGGACTCACTCATTACCTTGAAACTCGAAGTGACAAATAAGTTGTCTCTTCGAGCTCTAGTCGATTGTGGGGCGTCCAACAATTTTGTGCGACGCCAATCGCTAGAAGATGGTCACTTCAATTTCAGTGAATGTGACACACCTCCTACGAGGATGACGGTACGTCTTGCGACAGGCGCATCCGTAACCGTCATGAAGCGTATAGTGAAGATCCACTATACGCTAGAAGATACCCAATATGACGATGACTTTATCGTATTGGATTTGGATGACAAATTTGATGTCATCCTTGGAATACCGTGGCTCAGAAGGTACGAACCACGGGTAAACTGGCAACATCGAACAGTAACGATGCCTGCCGCTTGTTCATCAGATGGCCATCTGATGAACGTTTTGGAGCGTCCACAAGCGTGTGGATGTACTACGAGTGAGTGCGATGGCCTCACTTGTGGTACGGTCGTTAGTACGACTGCACAAAACCTTAGTGTACCAAATGGTTACACTTCGGAGCAAAGTTCCGGCGGCTGTGAGGAAACACAGGCTGAGCCGAAGGTCCACCACTCGAATAAGTCGAGTGGACCGGGACAAAGATGTATCCCTAGCGGGGAACATCCAGAAGAGAGACAATCGATCGCTCAGGTTAAGCGAAACGATAATCCTGGATCGACTGGAGAGTCTTTCGTAGAGGATCTCGCTGTGGTTGCACAACCACAACTAGAGGATGTAAAGGGAATAAGGTCCGATGTTACAGATAAGGCGGAATAAGTTCCCCGAAACCCGAGGGAATAAGTCCCCGGGAAGCCGAAGGAATAAGTACTTCAAGGCCTGAGGAAATAAGTCCTCAGGAAATGACAGAGACATTGAATGTCATAGTCAATAACGGATCAAGTGTAGGCGCTTATACACTTGATCTGATTGCGCCTCCGAAGTTAACTTCGGAGATCACTCAGTTGCCAACGCTCGAACATAAAAGGTTCTTGCGTGATCTGCGTAGTGGCAAAGTCAAGCAGATTTGCGTACTCGTCGCTGACGACGAGTGTGTAGCCGACATAAGGTCAGCAACAGTGTTCAATGAGAACGAGAGAGGTCTCAGTAGTTCATCTATGGACGAGAGTGTCCTAGATGAAAAGACACGAGTTGAGCGATATGACTCCCAATCGTGGGAATCGCTCAAGACAAATCCTCTCTATGAAGATTTGGTTGAATTCAAGGATGTATTCCCTGAAACTGTTCCGTGCGAGTTACCGAAGGATAAAGGTACTCGACACGAGGTCGAGCTTAAACCAGGCTCGAAGTACTGTGTCATGAAGCAGTGGCCAGTGCCTCGTGAACAAGTACTTGCGATCGACAAGTTCTTTGCCGATCGTTTAGCTGCGGGCCATGTGAGGGAATCAACTTCCCCACATAGCTCTCCGATCTTCTGTGTGTGAAAAGCAACAGGAGGGTGGCGGATAGTGCACGCATTCAATAAGTTGAATGCTGCAACGGTACCGGCTCAGACGCCGATACCAAGGAAGGACGTAATCATTGATGGTATGTCAAAGAGTACCATCTTTTCCTCCATGGATTTGATGGATGGCTTCTATCAAATCCTTATGCGAGAACGGGATATACCCTATACCGCAGTTAGCACGCCTAGCGGCATGCTCTGGGAATGGCTAGTAATGCCACAAGGGCTAAGTAATGCCCCTGCCACGTTCAACAGATGTGTATCACATCTGTTGAGACCAGTACGAGAATTCGCGCCGAGTTATTTCGATGACGTATTCATCCATAGTCGGGATATGGATGGAAAGTCGGACGTTGAGGTTCACAGGCACCACGTCCGACAGGTTCTTACAATTATGCGAAAGCATCAATTGTATGCAAACCTCAAGAAGTTTATATTTGCAGCAAGCGAAATACCACTTCTTGGGTGCATCGTTGGTAAGAACGGTGTACGTCCTGATCCCGAAAAGATCAAGGCGATCACCGACTGGCCTGTGCCAGTCGACGTCAAAGGTCTTCGAAAATTCCTTGGGCTAGCGGCGTATTTGCATAAGTATTCACGCAATTACGCCGAGATGACTGTGCACCTCTCTCGTTTGTTGAAAAAGAACGAGAGGTGGTTATGGAACGCTGAATGTCAGCGCTCCTTTGATGGTATCAAGCAGAGCTTGATACAATCCCCAGTCCTAGCGATTGCCGATCAGGACAGGCCATTTCATGTGGTCTGTGATGCCAGCGATTTCGCAATCGGCTGTGCATTAATGCAGTACGATCTTGAAGGCGTTGAACGCGTCGTCTGCTATCAGTCGCGTCAGCTGCAACCAGCTGAGCGGAACTATCTAGTGCATAACAAGGAACTCCTAGCCATGAAGTACGCACTCGCGAAGTTCAGACCCTATCTATTAGGAGATAGACCCTTCATTGTTTACACTGACCATGCGTCATTACGCACGGCAGTGAACAGCCCGCACCTTTCACAACGAATGGCGTGGTGGTTGTCATTCTTTGCGGAATACAACTTTACGGTCGAGTACAAACCAGGACGACTTAATGTCGTCGCTGATGCACTCTCACGTCGTCCCGACTTTGAAACAGTCGCGAAACCCAACAGGGAGACAGTCACTGTTGCGGTTATGACGTCCTCAGTCCCATCTACAACGTTGTATGATGATGTGAGGCGGGCATACGCCCAAGATGGTGAGATTGTGAAGTTGTTGACACATCTCTCCCAACCATCTCGGGAATCGTTGAAACGATTGTCGTCTGCGTATCGATCTGCATCAGATCGATACACTACTCGTAACGGTTTACTGTATTATACAGCCGTTTCTGGTGACACACCACGTGTTGTCATTCCAGATGATACTGATCTGCGTTTGCGGATCATGTTCGAGTATCACGATGCTCCTATAGGAGGACATCGTGGCCGCGAGAAAACATATCTCACGGTAAGTCGAGACTTTTACTGGCCCCGCCAGTATCAGTTTGTGCGAAAGTATGCTCGCGCATGCGAAGTCTGTCAACGAGTGAAGTCAAGTCCTTCACTGCGTGCACCTTTACAGCCTCTACCGGTTCCGGCAGAGTGCTGGGAATCCATCTCAATGGATTTGTCTTCGGGTTACCCAAAGACGCACGCGGGAATACGGGTATTCTCGTATTTGTTGACAGATTCAGCAAAATGGTACACCTTGTGGCTGTACCAGAGACAATCACGGCAAGTGGCTGTGCTTGTGCCTTTATTGACACCATCTTCCGACTTCATGGGTTGCCCCGTGAGCTCGTATCAGACAGAGATCCACGATTCACTGCTGATTTCTGGCGTTCCGTGTTCAAATCACTCGGAACGCGCTTGAAGATGTCAACATCTGATCATCCAGAGTCAGATGGTCAGACGGAACGTGACAATCGTGTCCTTGAAGAGATACTTCGACGAAACGTACGCTCCTTTAAGAGTTGGAGTGAGTTTTTGCCGATGGTAGAGTTTGCCATTAACAACTCGGTGCATGCGTCCACGACACATACACCGTTTTACGTGAATGGCTTGCGCCATCCGCGTGTACCCACCTTACTAGAGCGTAACTCTGGTTTAAGGGGGGGAGGGACTCGCGCGAGCAAAAACCGATTTGGTTCACGCTCATCACGCTCTGACGAGGAAGTCATTGCGTTTGATGCCGATATTGATAACACCGATATCGAAGAATATGATGCCAGTGAGAGTGCGGAGCCCTCACTGAAGAAGATGATCCCAGTGAGAGTGCGGAAGCCCTCACTGAAGAAAAGGTTGATGTTGCTGCAGTGCGCTCACAGCACACTGAAGCTAACGAGTCATCAGATGAGTTCATACTGGCTCGTGAAACGGTAGTCCGTTTTGTGCAAGACTCCATCGCCGAAGCGGTGGATAAGCAAAAGCAAAACGCTGACAAGAATGGAAGGGCAAACACTCTTTTATATAATAAAGGTCCCTTAGTCCTACTGTCTACGGTTAATCTACCAAAGCATGTAGTGACTAACTTGGGTAGCAGTAAACTACTACCCAAGTACATCGGCCCTTTTCGTGTATTGCACCGCCTAGGCAATGCATACACGATCGAGTTGCCACGTAAGATGCGAACGCATCCCACGTTTTACGTTGGTCGACTTAAGCCGTACCATCAGTACGCTGCTTCTTCCGATGAAGAACGCCCTTGCGCTCAAGCATCTCGCAGAGAGCCTTGTGCTCCCGATGGTGGGCATCGACAAGGGTCTGAAGAGCAGGTATCTCATCCCGAGACCGATCAACAATCCCACGAGCTACCCTTAGCTCGTCACGAAGAGATGTCAGAGATCTCTCGTTCTCGAGCCGAGCAAAGGCAAACTCAGCTCGATGCTTCGAGGCAGTGTCCGCCATTTGGATACGCCTATTCCGCTCATGTTCGAGATCGTCGCGTAACCCTTGCGTTACGCGATCAAAGAATCTCTCGGGAACACACGGATCCCCATGATCGTGTGGAGAACGTCCTCCCTCCTCCTCCACCTCCATTAGAGGACTCTCGCGGTGGCCAGCGCTATCTAGTTGAGCAACTGTTGAACCACCGCGACGTGAACGGACGTCGGACGAGTTATCTCGTACGGTGGCGCGGCTATCCCCCGTCTTGGGATACTTGGGAGCCCCGCTCCCAACTGATGATCGACGTACTGGGTCTGGTTGAGCAGTACGACGCGGCCCATCCTGTGCCGCAGAAGGACCGCCGGAGAAAGTCTTCCCGGCACGGTCGTAAAGGGATTTCAGGTTGTCAATCCCTTCGTACATCTCAGTAAAGATACGTACGCGCCCCCAAGGGCTAGTAAGGAGGTAAGCCTCCTTAGGTGCTCGTGCAGAGTTGTTCACACAACGTGTGCACGAGTCTCCCCAAGAGAGGCAGGGTAATCCTTTCTATCTTGACAGACGATGCAGCTTGTAGCGTGCACCTGTCGGGGTTCGCTTTTCAAACTTATCACGAGCTTTGATAAGTTTGTCGTTCCAAACGTCACGACCTACATCCTCAAGGTTATGGATGTAGGCGCTCCACGCCTAAAGCAGTGAGGGACCATCACGTTTGTGATTCCCACTGTACCATTGATGATTAAAGAAAGCATCGATAAAGAAATCATTCTCAGCGCGATAATTTTTCGCACTGGGGTCAAGGTGATGTATCCTTGACGAATCGAACAACCGTGTTCGATAACGATCACTCGTCGTCGCCGACAAGTGATCCATGACTGATTTTGGAGGCATCCATGCCTTCTTCTCAGGAGCGAGACGCAACACACTGCGGTCCCGCTCTTCCTGCGACGTGCCCACAGAAGTACTGGCACCTCGCTGTGAAGTGGTGTCAATAGGAGAACCGACACCACTGTTAGCGCCCGAGTCTTGCGACCTCGAGCGCCTTCGCTTCGGCGATGGTTCATCAGATTCATCAGATGAACCAAAGATGCTAGGACGCATAGCATCATCCATGCCACGCTTGGCAGGCGGCTTGGATTCGATCGCTGTCGATACGGATCCGTCTTCCGTATCTGGAGAGTATGAGACACCGAGCTCATACTCTGTGAAGACACGAGTGTCTTCATGACTAGCGCCTGCATCACCAGGTGACACAGGCTGAGTCGCTTCAGCAACCGATGAGACATCAGTTGCTGTGGTTTCTGCTTCGGCGTCCGCACAGAGACGTGCGGACGCGCTCTCGGCGGCCTTGCTCGTGCATCGCATGGGCTTGTTAACCATGCGATGAATTGTTGGAAAGTGGACTCGGACCAACAAGTGCAAACCCTGTCCCAAATGATTTGGGACGAGTATCCATTTAGTCAATCAGTCACTAAAGTGACTGATGGTTAGGGGGGGTGATGTAACGGGGTGAATCGTTACATAACAATTTATAAGAAATTGTTAATAGAATATAACTATAAGAGTTATATTCTCAGAATATTGTCATAAGGACAAATATTCTGTAGCACTTACGAGTTGTTCCTAATTGGTTGATATAGGCCATTATATCAACCAACGAAGACGCGCCACGACAGACGCACGCAATGAGTGGTGAGCAGATAACTGATATGTACATTTGTATTTAGACATAGTTAGATGAAGATAAATAGTGATTTATTGCAGACATTGAATATTATAAATACAGTTCTACTTTTTACTCTAACCAAGTACTCGCTTCTTCTTACCGTCTTCCTCTGCACGTACGAGTGTACGTGAAGTTACGAGGCACCGCCTTATTCTATCATCAGAATAAGTAGCTTGTACTGTCACCAGTACAAGCTTCAGGGTGCCCCGTTACATTTATGGCGTTTGTCATCGACTCAACTCTACTTATATAAAGATATGAGCAAATTCCCCATGCTCTATCCATCATTTATGCCTTTGTACATTATCTGGACTCCATGTCCTACCGGCCAAGAGCTAATTAATCTTTTGAGCCGACAAATCACGGTTAAACAGTTTAAGGAAATTGCTGTAGTTCTTCTTGAACAACGACAATGTATTTGGGCTACGAGATCCGGACAGGGAAAATCGACTACAAGAATTTGGTATTACGCATCCAACGTGTCCATCGGCGGCTGCTTACAGCGATACGAGTAGCAACGAGTGTGACAATTAGCGTGTTAATTTTAAACTGTATCGTGCTACATTCCATACTATTCACTGCCACAGTTTTTAATTTACCGCTGTGGGCGAAGCTGGATCTGCACAATTTATACAAGCTGTTTGTATAAGCATGCAACTACAACAGAAAGAAGTCGTTACTAAGAAAATACAGGGCTGCTTTTGACTCAAAGCATGCGGGAGGCATCAGCCTCGCCGAAGTATCAGTTGTAACGGGGTGCCTCCGTAACATGATAATTTACAGAAGGTAATCATCAAGTACGAACATAATATTAGGATAAGCACAATGTAACACACTGCCCAAAGGTTGATAAAGGATTGAGATGTCAACCAATACAGTCTAGCCACGACAGAAGCACGCAATGAGTGGTGCGCTGATAGTTACAAAACATGTTTATTTTGATACTGAGTAAAATGAAGTCAAATGGGGATTTACTAAAAGGATTAACTATATTAAACACTGTCTACGTTTTACTGAGCACTCTTACTCCGTGTAGCAATCTTACTCTGAACGTACGTGTACGTGCGGTAGTCGGATGCACACACCCTTGCACTTTCAGCATTGCAAGGTTTATTCAATTAGTTGAATAAGATGTGCCCCTTAACATTAGTGGCTATCAAAACTTATCAAAGTAAACATGCGATTACTTGGCTTACTCAAAAAAGACCAATACTCAGCGCCGTGGCGAGTTTGGACTTTTTGTGGCTACATTGAGAGGGCCGCAGCTATTGTGCCTCTGTCTCAGATCTCAATAATGAAACCTGCCTTAACAGCGCCGTCGACACGGTCAGCTATTGCTACATGAGCTTGGTAGTTGGATGCACCATTGCCGGGCCAACTTTTGTAACGGGGTGAATCGTTACATAACAATTTAAAAGAAATTGTTAATAGAATATAACTATAAGAGTTATATTCTCGGAATATTGTCATAAGGACAAATATTCTGTAGCACTTACGAGTAATTTCTAATTGGTTGATGTATGCCATTATATCAACCAACGAAGACGCGCCACGACAGACGCACGCAGGTAGTGGTGAGCAGATAGTTGATATGCACATTTGTATTCAGACATAGTTAGATGAAGATAAATAGTGATTTATTGCAGACATTGAATATTATAAATACAGTCCTACTTTTTACTTTAACCAAGTACTCACTTCTTCTTACCGTCTTCCTCTGCACGTACGAGTGTACGTGAAGTTACGAGGCACCGCCTTATTCTGTCATCAGAATAAGTAGCTTGTATTGTCACCAGTACAAGCTTCGGGGTGCCCCGTTACACCTTGTAGCACTTCGTAGTCCGTCCAAGGACCACGTTCACATCTAACATGAATATGTTAGATGATGAAGATGACCAAAGCTTTCACGCTACGCGTGACGGCTACCCCCATTTGAGCAATGTCGAATGGGATGCGGCTGAACGGATGGGTTCAACCATGGGCATCCATGCTGTTAGCGTCATGCTAGAGGCTCTCAATAGAGATGCCCAACATGCTACTATCGCCAAGTTCATTCAAAATGAACTTGACGCTGAACGCGAGAAAGTAGCCTTGCTTCACCAACAAGGTTCTCAACAAGCAGAGTTGTTGAGAGAACAAGGTGCTCAACAGTTTGAACTGTTGAGACAGCAGCAGGCTGCTGCTGGCGGGTCGATGCACTCGCGTCGACCCGAGACTTTGAAGATTGACATCTCAAAGTATAGTGGAGTCGAAGAGGACTCCCCCTTGAGATGGTTCGTCGAATTGGATGACGCCATAAGGGCGCGTCGCATCGACGACGGGAATATGCAAGTTGCATTTGCCCAGTCAAATCTGGCAGGACGTGCCAAGACTTGGGCACTGGGGCTCAAGTTGCACGACCCATATGCGTTTGGATCGTTAGAAGTCTTCAAGTCGCGGCTCAGACAAACGTTTGAGCCGCCTAGAGCTGAGTTCAGGGCTCGAACCGAACTCTTGAAGCTCAAGCAGGGTAAGCGTGATGTGCACGCTTACGCTCAACATATACGACATCTCACGAGTTGTATAAGTTCCAATCCGGTGGATGAACACACGTTGGTTTCGGTGTTCATGCAGGGTCTTGCGGATGGTCCCGTCAAGACTCACCTGTTCCGGCTTGAACTAGATTCACTAGAACAAGCCATTTCCATTGCGGAGCAGGAAGACTTCAGTCTGAGACAGGCTCGCGCCAGCTCGACATCATATCGCCAACCGAGACGATGTGACAACGGAGGTC